TGATTTCTGGAGAAAGTAACCCATTAACTTCAACTCTGGTGGTAGCATTATAGTGTAGTATACTAATCCATTGATGCAAAACTGGACCAAAGTTCATTTTTGAAAAACGCGCATCCAAAAATTTTCAATTCACATGGTCGTAGGCCTTCTCAAAGACGACTGTAACATTTTGATGGGACTGACGAGCCAATTTGATCATCTCATTAATCAGTAATATATTGTCATGTATATAGCGTCCCTCTATAAACTCTGTTTGCGAGGGATGAATAATTTCTGGCATAATCGGAAGCATTTTATTTGCTATAGCCTTCGCGAGCATCTTATAGACAACAGTTGACAATGTGATTGGCCTATAATTTTTAATATTAGTCTTATCACCTTTTTTTATAGAGGAGAGTGAAAATTCCCTGTCCAACAAATTTTCCCATATATCCTGAGTTTTGAACTGAATTGTAAAATTTCATTAGATCATATGAAAAAATTGACCACATTGATTCCCAAAATTCTTTAGGAAACCCATCAATACCCGGGGTTTTATCCTCTTTCATTTGAAGCAAGGTTGTCCAGATTTCCTCTTTTGAAATTGGTTTCTGTAGTGAGTTCTTTTGTTCCTGTGAAAGGGTTTTCGTTAGGGGAATCAGAAAGTCAGCTATCTCCTTACGATCTTCAATTATATCCCGAAAGTTTTTGGCTGATGTGAAAAGACCTTTGAAGAAATCATAGGTTGTTTTAAGACTACCGGTTGAGGAAATGAGATTATCGATATGAGAAGGAATGGTGGGGTCTATCAACCCTTTTATAACTGCCCTCCTAGCCCGAGATTTGACCATAGCGAAGAAAGTAGTATGCATTTGTTCTTTAGTTTGATGTTTAGTTAGTTTTCCTCTAATAAGATACCCTTGTCAACGATGTTGTGCAAAGGAAAGAAGTTGATTCCTTAAGCTACTGATATCGGTTCGTTGTTGTTGATTGGACTCTGAATCCTGAAGCTCATAATGCAAAATCTGCTCTTGAATTTGTATCTCTTTTTGATATCTGTCCTTTGCCAGTAGTTTTGAATAATCCTGATATTTCCGAGCCACAAAGGCTAAACCATTATTAAACCATTCAATAGGAGAATCGTGTTGAGGCTTAGTTGATTGTCAGAATTTTCATACATCTTGCACAAACTGTCTGAATCAAGGAATAGACAGAAGAGATGTATTCATTCGGGGCATAAACAATTGTATTATTTTTTGAAATCGCTAGTCTATGTATAGTACGGGGGAACACGAACCAACCCGGATCTCTCCCTATCCCACGGGGTAGGTTGGCACCACAGCAGTGGTGCAAGAGCAAGGTTGTACCACTCCCTCATCACGGTGATGAGGGGTGGGCATACATTGCTGATGGGGGAACCATGAGAAGTTATATTCAAAATAATCACTTCTCCTAGGGCGTGTACTCTCCCTATCTGGAAGACGAAGTTTGTCATCCGGCCAATGACTCTGATCTTTCCTTCGTGCGCTGAAATGAGATGGTCTCCTTCGGGGACCGAGATCATGTCTTTCTTCCTCCCAGCCCGTTCAACTACTCTAAGCGATACATCCAACACCGCCGCTTCTGAATCGAGGACAACGTTGTATGACATCCCCCATACTTCTACGTCGCATTCCACGGATTTCCTTGGAATGGGTTTGATGTGCAAAAAATTGTCATCTTTCTGAATTACCCCAATGCACGTGGGTTCCGAGGTGCTTTCCTTGTCAAACTCCCGTTTTTTCTCGGGAGTCTTTCCCTTGATGGCCGCCAACTTCGCAAGGGTAAAGCGTTTTCTATTGGCCTTGCAGTGTTGTAACATACGGTCATTGGCCTGTTCTGAGTTAGACAGGAGGTGTTCGATTGGTAGGGGGATACAGTGATCCAAGGCTCTAACTATGTCGAGCACATTAATCTCCCCGGTGACAAAGGCTGACCCTCCTGATTCCATCTCACTGGGCGAAGGCCTCCACTCCGAAACTTCTTGTTCGTTCGCGGCTGGTTTAACGGCTCCTATCATTCTCATTCCCGGCTATCCCAGCATGAGGTACTGATCGAGGGGGATGAGTTCCGCATCCTTGTTCATGGCCATAGTTGCGCCCATCATCCCGTTTGTGTCTTCCACCACTGTCCCAACTCGGCCGGGTCCATTTGCTATGGGTGCGGCTGCTGCGGGGGCTGTTCCTGTCCGAAACTGAGGTGGTCGGTTGGAACGTTCCCGCGCATTGCGTCCCGATTGATGACACGTGTAACAACCTTCTGTTCTCGTGGCAGCCGCTCCAATGGGTCCTCCTGCTGCTTGCGTCGGCTGGGTCCTTACGAGAAACGTCGGGGTTTAGACAGTAATAGGGCGCATCAAGCGTGTGAAGTTTTCCATTCGGGGCGTTGTATTCTCGCTGTATTAAACTCACTAGGGTTTGTGTTAGTTTTAATATTGCACTGGATTCATCCCCCTTCTTTTCCCAAGGTGTGGGGGTCGTAGGGAGAGTGGTTGGCAAAGGAACAACGTTGGAACTTGGGACAGTCATTTTGATTGCCATTTGTTCCAAGTAAGTGACGGGTCCCGAGACAAAGGCCATATTCTCAAACTTATCCTGAAGTGCAGCCAGTTCGACTTTAGCCGAGCTAACTCTGTGGAGTTACACCCGCACTCATAGAGGAAGGTTAAAAAAAAAGAAAAAGGATTAAGGCCCGACGGAAGTAGAGTGCAGGACAAAGCGCAGCAGAACGCGCGCGAGTAAGGAGCACCACGCAGTTATCAAAAAGAAAATACAACAACCCCAAAATCCTAATCTAATTAAAGTCCTAATTCCTATCACTCCCGTATTCTTCCCCCAACGTTCAAAAATCTAAAAACACTTTCTCGCGCGATGACCGCGCCGAAGTTCCCTTCCCCGTTCCCAAAAGAAAAAGGAAGAGGCCGCGTCGACCGTTATTTCTGCGCTCGCTAAGGCGCGTCCTAACTACCAACTGCAATGGGACCTAGTTTTCACAAAAGAAAGAGAAAAAGAGGAAAAGAATGGGGGCCCTTGTGTAATTGGATCATGCCCCTCCGCCCAACCCCCGCAGTGCAATCGCGCAGAAAGTCGCGCTAATCAGAAGATAGATCGTCACATTTCCTAATTAGGTAATGTGCAGCAATGAAGGTGCTGGAAATTCCTGTGGCTGTGGGATCCATTTCCTCTTGCACATCCATGGCGGCTATAATTTCTGGTTTTCAAGGGCTTTCCAACCACCAAGCCACTGCGATGCAGTGGGGTCCAGGCCTAACTGGATACCTGCACCGTGCAGGGGTACCGACCATGTAGCTCCTCACCTGGACCGGTGAGAGAGGCATCTATAGGGCCGTCATCACTTACGTCCAAGGGTCCTGTCTTCTTGAGGCCCAACTGTCCTTCCACATCACTGTGTGCCCGTTCGCCTCAACACCGGAGGAGGGGACCAATTCGGCGGGACCAATGAGAGGGAACCCGTTAGGGGTGACAAATTAGGAAGAGGGGGGGGGGGGGGGGGGGGGGGAGGGGGGGGGATGGAAGGCACTGGCTTTTGCCCAGTATTTCAGATTGTACGTACCAAACCAGCCTGATGAGGTTTAAGAATCCCTGGACTAGCCATGTCAGAATGAACCTGTGTGCTGCAGAGACCCAGATGCATAGTTGGTATCTGCTAAGTGCACTTATCCAGATACACAGAACTACTGCAAGAACTCAGTAAACCCAACAGGTTAAGTTAGCCCCTGCTCCATTAGAGATTTGACCAAAGGTGTGGACTGTGATCTCACAAGCTAAGCTGGCTGAGGCTGCCAGTGTGTCTCGTCCACTCTATTCTTCCGGGTAGACTGTAAGGACCCCGGCCTCGAATTCTATTTCTTCAGTAATACAAGTCTTGGGCACTGGGCCCGTTGTTAAAAAAGAAAAAAAGAAAAAAAAAAAAGGCCTGAAATGAGTCATCCAACATCCGAACAAGAGCTGAACCGTGGTTTCTCACATTGAAAGTCTTTGTGATTATGTGGGAGCTGCATGCCTGCGCTGTCTAGGACATTCTGTCTTCCCCTTCCACTAATCTAGATGGGTGCAGCAGCAAAATGGAGAGGGGAGTCTTCAAAGTAGAACACTATTGCTCAGCGAACCATCATCCAAGAGAGGGGAGCATCAGGGAGGGGCTGTGCATGACTAAGTGAAATGTATCAACAGGCACATGCAACAATATCCAAAGAGGAGTCCCCAAAATGGAAAACCTTGATTCCTTCTTCTTCGTTTGCCATTGGCGTTGTCATCGTTGTTGCCATCCTCCTTCTCCTTCACCACTTCCTCCTCCTTCCTCTTGCTGCTCCGCCTCGTCCTCCTCCTTTTTCTTCCTTCTCCTTCCCTTCTCCTTCTTCTTCTTCCGCCTCCTCCTCCTCCTCCTCCTCATCATCATCATCATCATCTTCTTCGTCTTCTTCTTCAAGGTTGGAGTGAATCATCATGCATCTGTCCTCATCACCCATCCAGTTTGCCCCTCCTGCTTATCATTCTCCTTCATCTTCTCATCTTCTTCTTCTCACGGAATCTCACCTCCTTTCTCTCAGAGATTGAGTGAATCCTCATTCTTGTGTCCATTATCCACTGGTCCATTCTGCCAATGATGGTTTCCAGAGAGTGTGACATGGCATTACCCTCTGCATGTCTCAAGGAAAGTAGACCTCAAAATGAACTAGAGGTTGTCCACTGCACATATCCTCGAGAGTCAGATGTCTCATTCGGGAAAAAGTTAAACTGCGCTTAGCCATGTTGACAGGGCTGGTTGATTTCCAGAAATTGCAGTAACTATGTATTTGCCATTTGGTCTTTGCTTTGCTTTGCTTACGGATTTCGGTTCGGGACCTTGCATTTGGTTTTGGTTTTGGTTTTGGTTTTGGTTTTGGTTTTGGTTTTGGTTCTGGTTTTGGTTCTGGTTTTGGTTCTGGTTTTGGGTTTGGGTTTGGGTCCTTTGGAAGACAGATTGGGCAGGCCACAGGCAAACCACCAACCGCACAAAAGACAAGGGATCCTTCAAAAGATTTGAAGAAAAGGCCCAGCTTCCTGGATAGCCCTGACATTTTACAGAAGGGTGAGTGAGAAGCCAAGTAGTTTTATGTGGATTTTGACTGGTTCTTCTGCTTCAGCTGTGGTCTCTGCAAAGTGTCTTGACTCTTGAACCTTTTACAATCGTTCTAGGATGAATAGAGTCACAGTTAGCCATTAACATAAAGGCACTGTCTCTACTATTCCAAAATGCATTTGCCCAGTTAAATTGAATCAATGTCTAAGATCTTCATTTACCACCTTTGTACACTCCATAACTTAGTTTACCATTACCAGTGCATATGACAATATCATGCATTGTGTGCTCTCCTCCCTCCCTTTGTCCCTCCTAGGTTCAAAACCTTCTCCCTACCTCCCTCCCACCCTTCCTTCTTCCTTCCTCCTCGCCTTCCTTCCATCCACTTTCACTTCTCCCATGCATACCTGGCAGGACATAGTGATGATCTTCATTCTGCGACATTTTGTTCTCTGCGCCCCTTGTATTTTATTTTTCTTGCAACTGTGCAGCGGTTCTATATTAGCACTTTTAAAGTGGCCGGGCTACACCCGGCATTTTGCGGATTCACGGCATGGCCTTCTTTTTCTTTCTGTTGTAGGCAATCCGTATAGATAGGAAATTGCATCTCTCCATCACATTTTTGTTTCTAGGAAATGGTATTCTGCGTTTTTGTGCCTCAGCGAGCATGCAATGCCATGCATGTATTTATTCTTCTTCTTCTTCTTCTTCTTCCTATTCTTCTTCTTCTTGTTACTATTATTATTTTTAACTGGTCTTTATGGTCCTGGCTCCATATCCATTCTGGGAAGCGTCAGTCCGGTTCCTATTCCCCCGGCAAGTCAAAATTGAATACAACATAGAACACCCTCACGCTTCCTTCCATATGGCCGAAGGAACCCTGACCAGCATTGATTACTCGTGAGTCCTGATAGGAGGATTGACTGTCAGCTTGCCATTCCCTGAATTCCCTCTCAGATTTCCTTTCCATGCATATATTTTTATTTTTACTTTTTAAAAGAAACTTCTGCACGGGACAGCACTTACCGAGGTGGTATGAGCATCCTTGGCAAGCGGCCCTGCTGTGAAGGCTCCATCTATTTGTGGGGAGCAGCACCTGCTGGAAAACGGGTCCATGGTCCCTCAAGATTGTGAATATGGATCTGAGTAAACTGGGTAAGAGTGAAGATCTGGGGAAAAGGCGCGAGGGTGGGAAAGTCATCTGAGGAACTGGGTTGGGAGTCGATACGAATGAACGATGTACCGAAGATGGTTGATTTCCTACGCACACACAGTTCCTTCAGAGCTATCAACGATATCCTGATCCAACGACAAGGCATACCGATGGGGGGCCACGCCAGTCCGTCCCTTGCCTGCCTTGTATGCATGAAAGCCGAATGCATTTTTTTCAGATTGCTGGGTAAGGATAGACAACTGGATTCTTGAAAGAACCGAATGCGGATGGGGGGCCGAAAACGATTTGATTTGTTGATGATCTCCTTCTCGTAACATGGCACAAGTATGAAGCAGGGGAGAAGGAGACAGCAGAAAGAAGGTTGGATGGGATCATGAATTGCTACCACAAGGACTTGATTCTTGAAAGAACAGATGATGGAAGCCATGTCGAAGAATTTTTGAAAACAAAAATTGTGTTTGACAGCCCTGCGAAGATCTTGTCAGTTCACTAGTTCAAAAATGCGGACCGCATTTGGAAAAAGGAAGTTTTCAGATACACAATGACGAAGAGGTATGATTCCTATGGATCAAACGAACCAAAAAATTGCCACAATTATGGGGACCTTGCACAGGATCAGAACGAATACATCAGAAGATGCTGTGCTCATTATGGTATTGATGACGTTTCATTGGGAACTCAGCCTACTGGGTTACCCGAGTATCATCTACGTAAGGGCATTGATCAAAATGGCAAGAAGGGTGGAGGGAGGGTGTGGGCAGATATGGCATGCCTGTTGGGGGGCATTGTGCCTGATGGACAAGGAGAGAAAGTGGGTCGAAAAGGGGTGAGGAGGTTCACACGACATCCGCAGATGGCCGCTGATCCTGGCTGAGAAGGTGCAGGCATGTAAAGTGCAGGCAGTAGGGTCAAGAAAGGGATATGGCATGGGGTCGACATCTGCTGGGCCGATATCTGCTGACTACAAAGATCTACAATGGTACAAAGTGGGACACAAGGGACAAGGAGTAATGACACCCGCCTCGAAGGTTCGGGTAGACCAGATATCTGGTCAGTGAATCCCTTACCGTGAGCCGAGAAGTTAATGACAAGATAGATGACATTTGCAGCGGGGATAAGACAAAGATGATGACCCGAGTGAGTAGGCTTGCCCAAGTGCGTGGAATATCGCGCAACGCCGCAAATGTTTTTGGGCGGAGAGCCGGGGTTGGTTTTGATTATTTCTTTATCTTTATTTTATTTTTACGTTTACATTGCGTTTTCGAGTTTTTTTAGTTCCGGACGACGGGTACATAGGAGTATTTGTTCACGGGCATCGAGTAGCCCGTCATGGGGTGAGCAGGATGGAGTAATAATGCCTATCTGTGATGTGGTTATTCTGCGAGAATAAACTCCTAGTCTCCAACTACATTGCATATTTGAGTAATTTCTTAGACCCAGCGTGGGAATTCGTGTTTCAAAATTAAGGCACCACTCATCTTCTTCTTTGCCGGTTCACCTGCCAGACTTCCATCGCCTTCTCATTTTGTATCTTCTTGAATTCTCGCTCCTGCGCGCACACAGTTTTTGTTGCTTTTGTTCGCCTGCACACAGTGCCTTTATGCCCCTTGCGGCTTCTTGCCTACTGTTTTCTGCAGAAAGCTTTCAATTGTCTTTTGCCTTTGCTTTGCTTCCTGTCTCTATTCTACCTTCCTTTGGCATCCTTCCCCCTCTTTCTTGAATCTTGTCTCCCACTCTTCTTCCCTTCATTCTGCTTGGCCAGACGATCCCTGCATATCAGAATCACCGTGTTAGAAAGGCTACGTCCCCCACACCGCAGCTGGATTATGCAGGCTTGTGCACCCTCTCTCCTTCCTACCCTCTTCGTTCTTGTCTTGTACACGCTTTGCATGCATGCAATTGTTCTACGGCATGCAACTATAAATCCCTTTTGGGAAGATGGAGGTGGAGCTCCAGGTCAGAGCTGGAATCTCTGTGTACCAATTCCAGGAGTCAGGTTAGCAGAAAAAGAAGGAGAGGGTGGATGACAACATAACAAAAATCGACTAAACTATGAGGAGGATGAGCAAAATGACCGTACGTAAAAGAAAGAGGAAAATAAATCCCTTGAGGATTAATAGCAAAAATATTTCTTTTTCGAAGTTTGGCAGCGAAAATGTCGTCCGTTCGAAGTTTCCTTTGCAAAAATAGAGGTTTCGCTGCAGATTTATCGGGTTCCCATAGTTTGCCAGCAAAAATAAAAATACCTCGTTTTGCCAAGTTTCACAGCAAAGGACCCCTAGGCCTCTGGCCTCAGGGACTCAGCGTTCTGGCCTCAGGCTCTCAGTGTTATTGTTGTTGTTGTTGTTGTTGTTTTGTTTTGTATTTTTTTCTGGGCATGGCCGACCCCATAACTTGAAAACGCAAAGATTATTTTCAGGGGCAACTACCTCTCTGGGGACAATGTTGCTTACCGGTGTGAAAAGTTGCGGGTGTACATTTGGGATCTAGGAGGTCGGCAATTGTCTGCTTATGTGTCCCGCAGAGCTCAGAGTCCAAGGCGCATGGTCTTAAACGGGCCTTCCGCTTGCAGGTTTCCTCTTCTTTGTGAGGATCGTAAGTAAAACCTTGCTGCTGGTAGCGATCCTCGTGTCTAAACTCAGAGCAGAGTGTTCGCAGCCAGAAAGGTGTGATCGTTGGCCAAGGGATAGAAGTGAATGAGCTTGTGATAAGGCAACAATAGAGAAGAAGGGGGAAAGGAAGTTTCCACAATCATAAACCCGGATTCTATGAATCCTGAGCATGGAGTTTCATCGGGGAAGACACACGGCTGGCAGTTCTGAGTTGTGGCTTCTCCCTCATCCCACTCACACATGTCTCCGCTTATGGTTGTATGGATAAGCGGGGATGGCAAGATCGTAGGCTCGCACATGCATAAGGGAACTTACGGGGAGGGAGAGAAAACTGATGGGAATAAGCAAACATTGTTTGCAATCACCCAATGCATGTACTTTGAAAACAGCGCAAAAGGGCGCAAACGTACCATCATCCATACACTCAGTCTGAACCAGACACAACTACTTCGTTGTACGCATGCACTGCCATGAAAGACTGATGACTTGGACTTCAACTTCATCACACATCATCCGTGAGCGAGAGATGGGTGAAATAGAACCATGTTGAAGACTGTTGACTTCCATCATAAGGGGAAATACACATTACCCCGCTCTCTTACACGTGACACGAGCCAAATTGCCACCCAATCAAGCCTCTGTCGCTGATCGTCGACTGTCTCTTGCTGCACACCCAATCAAACATCCCTGCGGTCGTCACCCTGCTCGCGCGCTCAATAGGCCAGGTTTGCACAAGTCCCGCTGTCCATCACAGTCACTCGCCAACCCTGTTTGGTCACCACCACCACGTCCGGACTTTTCGACATGGCAACCAATTCCTTGGCACAGACCGGAAATCGGCGTTGGGCATGGGGTAGCCTGTCACAAGATTGGCCCTGATTACATATCCACCCCTCTTAATAGTCTACTGAGACCTGCTATCTGGGTACCTAGAGGAAAGAAGTAACAAAAGAAAAGCATGACTGAAAAAGAAAGGAAGCAAAAGATAATGCTATGCTTGTCACTTGGGGGCTCAGCAAAGGAAGGCTGTGATCATCTATCTGCCAGAAAATATGCCAAATCTTCAATCGTTCCACATGTGACCTCAGTGTTTGATTGTCTTTCTTGACACTTCGTCATGAGCTGAGGCTTAGAGGGTACCTGGCGCGCTGGCTTAATATCGCAAACAGCACGGTGAGCTAACACCGGGCAAAAGTGCATACTGTTTTTCTTTGAGATGGGATCGGCTGACACACGTAGTCCTCGGTTTTCCTAACTCTTTTTCTACCCCCGTTACAGCTATTTTGGTCCCTTGGTCCTAATTGACCTGTAAGTCCTTTTGCATTCCTGCTACTTTTGTTATTCTCCATTTCCCCACTCCCTCCTTCCCCTCCCCCAGTGCCCCTCCCCCCAAGTACCTATCCTTTTGCCTTTGCCCTTTGAAACCCTGCTACTTGTGCCCCTGCTTTTGGCCTATTCACTTGTGCTATTTAATGTAGTCCTCTCACATTTGGTTTACCAAGGCCTTACTGCCTGTTCTACCGATTGGACTTGGATACGTGCTCTGTGTGCATCCTTCCCAATCCCAATCATAGGGTCCTTTCTGTTTTTTTAGGGGGAAGACACATCATTGAGGTTGGGTTCCGAGTTGAAGTTTTTTGGAGGGAGACACATCATCTTATTCACAGGTGGTAAGAGCGGCCCCTGGATTGAGTTCTAAGTTCTAACCCATATAGATGACTCGTTTCCATTGATGGGGAGCTGTGCCGCTGGAAACCGGGTTCAGTGTCCTATGCAAGCGATAGGAAAACATCATCCACCAACCTTATCATCGACCACCCTTATCATCGACCACCCTTATCATCGACCACCCTTATCATCCACCGCCCTCTTAGAAAGAAAAGAAAAGTTCAGCCCTGGAAGAGTAGATTCTTCGGTGCTCCTTCACTGGTCCCTTTTTCACCAAGACATGTACAAAGATTTGAAAAAAAAAGATGAAAGAACACATCCAGCGCATGATTGGGCATTTCTGGCATGTGTGCAATTCTAGCATATCACTAAGCACATCTAGCAAATTTCACTAACAACTAAACAAGCACATCAACATCCCAGTGCAAGGTCTACACAAGCAGGAGTGCAGCACAGAAATCTCATGTCTGTTTTTGGATGTTGTGGCTTGCTCTGCTGCCTCTCGCACGCAGCATCATATCAATTTGTTCTTTAGTGCAGGATTGGTTGCATTGAACCCGATGCATGAGCTGGACACCTATGTAACTAAGCATATTTCGCTGACAATTCGTGACTAAGGAAGAAGCTTTTTTTTTTTTTTTTTCACAAAAAAAACAGTACCTCATGGTTCTAGCTCCTACCATTCTGGGGAGCAACAGTCCGGTTCCTATTCCCCCGGCAAGTCAATGATGAATACAATAAGGATACACATACGCTCCTCCCCATTATGGCTGGGAGAAGAAGCTAATCAACACCTTGGTGCAACTCTACACTAAGAAGACTGCAACAGCACCGGCATCATATCCATTTGGTTGTTCCTGACTTGCTATGCTGCCTCCTGTAGACAGCCCCACGTCAACAGATTCTTCAATGAAGGATCAGTTGCATCTCATCTGATGGATGTGATGAGCTCCTTCCGGTCAATAGCAGTGAGCCCTGCAGTACGCAGAAAATTCTATCTATGATTTCCCTTCTTCTTCTCTCAGCTGACAGCAGCGATGCGCATTATTTGTTGTCCATGGTTGCAGAAATAGGTCTAAGAAAAGGGCAGCTGGAGAAGATAAGCAGCCTGGACGACGATATACGGAAAGAGATCCAAACTCTGACTGAGAACATGGCTAAGATGAAGATGGACTTGGAAAGATTCTCTCGGGCTCATGAAATTAAGGCATCTGCTGAAGTAAACTGCAAGGTCAAGTGTCTGTAGTACTCTGTACCCTGGCCACCCAAACCTTACCATCTCCTGACTGAAGTGCATCATGTGTGAAATGAAAAGAGAAGAGTCTACATATTCGTCCGCCTGACGCATAATGCCTGCAATTAGCACTATCTGAAAAAGAAGAATCGACGGACACATACCCACGCATCGAAGAAAATACACAATCAATGACAAGATAGCAACAATCTGCAAACCAAACATGTGGGAGTACGTCCAGGCTATCGTGGAAACCGCCTACTCACGCCAATTCAGGACCATTACATAGGATTTTGAAGAGTGCAGAGAGGTGATCTTGCAACGAATTTCCTCAGAACTAACTTCAGAGCAACAGTAATTATACACAAGGAAAGTCAAAAGACCCATCCGAGGTCAGCCGGCACCCTCCAACAGAGGTGATGGCATTGAACAGGTGAGCCCTACCAAACACACCCAACCGCCTCCCCCTTAACCACCACAAAATGCCAAAAACCGAAAAAGGAAATGCATATTTCATGTAAAGAAAGAGTAGCACATCATGTGAGCCTTTACTCTCGTGGAGGACATAATATGCTCAAATACAGAACTGAAGTGATCGATGATCACCCCACCGAAGCCACAACAGGTCATCTAGTCTTTTTCTTCTTTCTTTTTGTTAGTGGATATGTGAAACGAAAAGAGAAGTGTCCACATGTTCGTCCGCCTGATGCATATGCTTGCACTATCCAAAAAGGAGGGATCGACACGCACTTACCCACACATCCGTACCTTCTCCAAACGGAAACGAAAACACCACACTAACACAGCTTCCCTAAGGCCATGCACCCCTCATCCTACGCACCGGGAGCATTGCTGCCCAAAGCACCCTAAACACCACACTAACACAGCTTCCCTAAGGCCACGCACCCCTCATCCTACACACTGGGAGCACTGCTGCCTAAAGCACCTTACTGCCTTCACCCGAATAGAATGCCTGGTCATTATAGCTATACTTGTTGCAGCTTTCTGGGTAGAGACAGTGATAATGACCGTGCGTTCTATTTGGGTGAAGTTGGTAGCCTCCTGTTATATGTATGGCCAGCAATGCACGAGGGATGCTGTTGACTGCATACAATAGGATGTGATGCATTCATGAAAGACACTCTCACAAACCATTGGCTAGTACCATAATCACTACTCAGTACTTGATTGCTGTTTTGCCAGTAGGAGGATCAGTACGCTACTGCAATGGATTGCAGTTCTCTAGCGGGCTGTACCATAGGTAGGGTCATTTTTAAAATTTCTTGAGTTTGGGACTGTTTTCTGCAATCGGTACAGGCCCTCTTCCCAACAGGGACATTTCTGCAAATTCCAACATTTGAAACGGTTTTCACCTTTTAGC